CACAGAAGACCTACATGTATTTTGTAGCGATGGCTGTCAGAGGAATTTTTGGAAAAAAAAATCCCCTGTTAAAAATAGTCTTAATTTTTTGCTTGACTGAACTGTAAAAGATTTGGTTCCCTAATTATACAGACACAGTGGTTTAACTTGAGTTGCAAAAGCTTGCTGTTATTCTTCATCAGCATCTCTAATTCAACAATAGCATGTCTGCAACATTGAGAGAAAATGGAAAAAGATTTGTGGTTTCTGTCATTATCAATTATGCTGTCAGATCCATTTTAGTGCTGAGGTGAGACCCCAAACACGTTCCTGTTAGAATAACTCACGTTCAGCAGATGCTGCAAACTGTCAGGCATGGAGAGGCTTTCAGGAGGTGCTGGCTATTCATGCAGCAGATGCCCACTGCTGGGCTGCAAGGTTACTCGGTTGCTGTTAATGGGATAATAGGGCATCATACTCTGCTATGAAGAACCTTAAGTACCTCAAATTAGACTCATCCATGGAAATACTCAAGCTGTATTAGCATTGAGTTTGAGCACGGAATATGTGCTCATTCTTTTTTCATTGCTACTTAACTGGTTTTTCTGAATTTCCACTGTAAGGAAACAGATTTCTCCTTTAACCTTCCTGCTGAACCTCCACCAGTATGCATCTTACTTTGCTTTGCCTTCCACCTCCTGCATTTTCTTGTTGTATTTACTAGTAGCATCTTCTATCACTTTCAATGAGGACATTATCTTCCTTCCTTTCTTACAGGAAGTAAGAGGAGCTCAGAAGATCACTGATGTCAGAAAATGAATCATTATTTTTCTTTTTTAAAACTCTCTTTATGACTCTACCAGTTCTCAGCCAGTACTGTAGCCCTTTGCTGCAGTCTCTTCACTATTCTGCTACTCCTTTTCTCTCACTTTCCACTTTCCACATCTCCTCTAGTTCTCTACCCAGTCTCCCCAAATACCCTGCAGTATTTCAGGTCTCCTGCAGGCTCTGTCTCTATTCTGCTTCAGGGAAATTCCACTGCAGAAAACCCCAGTGCTGATCTACCTGGTACTCATGCCACCAGGCATCTTGCTACTCTCACTGCTCTCCTTCCTAACCATGACCTATTAGGACTGGTCCTGTATGCAAAGTATGTAGTGCCTCACATGTTGAAATCCCTGATGACAGAGAACCTTCAAAAAAGTAAAGAACAGTTACACAAAAACATTGTCCTAGCTTGCTGGCTTCCTTAAGCTTTGAAAGCTGTCATTAACCACAGGCTTCCTTTTGGCTGAAGTCTGTAAGTGACAATGTTTGCAAGCATGGTGCTCATTAGCAGCCAGGGTGTGTGAGGCCAATGCTCCTCTTGCAAAGCACATTTAATTATATCAGATAATCAAGCTATTTTTAATCACAAAGTGCTCTTTCAAAATGACAAGAGCATGCATGATCCAAAAAATGAACAGATACAGAGGCAACCAGTTCTATTTTAAAACCTCTGCTAAGAAGATAAAAATGATTCTGGGGCTGAAGCGCTGTGTTCCAACATTTACAGGCTTTCTTGTCAGTTGAAGAGCTGTGGGAGACATAAGAGCAAAAATCAAGTTAGAGAGATAATGCACAGGAAGCCAATGCTATATCAGGTTAAAAACAGCCAGTGCTTTCAGTGACAAACTTGGAAACCAGAATGGAAATATGCTACACTAAACTATGCAGAACACGTCTACTTTGTCCCTCTTTTTCTTTATAAAATAGCATGAAGCAAAGAATTATCACCAAGAAATGGCAGAAGTCAGATGCCAGCCAAGCTGCTTCACGTATGAACAAAGAATCTGTCTGCCTTTCTCACACACTGAGTTATTATGCTCTTGGAAGAAAATGAAGATCATCTATTTAAACAGCGTATTTATGAATCACAGGAAAAAAAGGTTAATGGGGGGAGATCATCCCCCCTTATCGCTACTATTAGTGTTGAAGACAGAACAAATTCAAATCAAACTGAAAGCCAAGATAAGCCAGGTCTGACCTCCTCCCAGCTCTCTGAGGTTCTCAAGCTCTTTTAGAATCCTAAGGTTCTTCACCAGAGAGTGGTCAGGTACTGGAACAGTCTTTCCGGGGCAGTGGTAAACGAGCCAAGCTGGAGTTCAAGAAGCATCTGGACAGTGCTCAGACAGATGGGCTGATTTTGGATGGCCTTGTGTGGAGAAAGGAGTTGGACTTGATAATCCTTAAGTATCCCTTCCAACATGGGATACTCTATGATGCTAGCTGTGATGGGATTCCTGCTCTCTCTCCACTCCAAAAAAGCTCAAACGTAAAAGAACTAAAGTGAACATTTTCAGGATGATCCTGCTTCAACACAGGAACCTCACTATGAAGGCACAGCATTCATTGTGATTCTTTTTTCGGTTTGATAGTCTTTCAAGAACTTCCTATGTTTTTATATTAATGAAAACATAGCCTGCAGTAAAGTGATTTGTGCTTTCTGTTTTCCAGAACATTTGCTACAGAAGTTTGTAGCTCCATTGTCTGAAAAAGTTCAGTGCAATCCATGCGTATTTTTATTTCTATGGTCTGTCATAGATCTGGCAGGCTGTCTTATTCCTACATGTTTTAGAAAGGGACAACCTCAGTAGCTCACGTTTATCCATCCTCATCTGCATTTTGCTAAGTTCATAAATCCTCCAAAATTATTATTATGCCACTCAAGTCAAATGTGCTAGAGCTCCTTGAAATATTAGGTGAGCACATTCTTTGCATAGGTCAAGGTTTTTTGGCAAGTCCATGGCCTAGTATTGACAAAAATGTTTTTATTCTGTCATCCTCCTATACTTAAGAAGTTCTAAATGAAATTCTGGCTGTAACACAGCAGGAGCTGATGCTCAGACTGATTTATCTTGCTGTTTAAAAAGCCCAAAGCCACAGTGAACCTAAATAGGGAAATATATGTTGGGGCAGAATTTCCTTTCAGATTTTTGTACATTATTCTGCTCTGGAACCCAGGAGTCTTGTTTGGCTCCATCTCCTCAGCACACTATAAACTGCAGAAAGCCGAGTCTTTAACACTTTTTAGGAGGTCAAGGAGAGTGTTAGCAGGTAGGTGGCTGGCTCCCCACCTGGGCAGGGCAGATACACGCTTTTTCTCCCACATCACTTTGTATTCCTCTTATGTTACCCAAAAAATCTGAAATAAGGAGGGCCACTAAGATGATCAGAAGGCTGGAGCACCTCTCCTATGAAGAAAGGTTGAGGGAACTGGGTTTGTCTAGCTTGGAAAAAAGAAGGCTTTGAGGAGACCTCATTGTGGCCTTCCAGTACTCAAAAGGAACATATAAACAGGAGGGGAAACGGCTGTTTAAAAGTGTGGATAGTGATAGGACAAGGGGGAATGGTTTTAAACTGAGACAGGGGAGGTTTAGGTTAGATATTAGGAGGAAGTTTTTCACACAGAGGGTTGGTGACACACTGGATGGACTCCTGCCCAAGGAGGCTGTGGATGCCCCATCCCTGGAGGCATTCAAGGCCAGGCTGGATGTGGCTCTGGGCAGCCTGGTCTGCTGGTTGGCGACCCTGCACATAGCGGGGGGGTTGAAACTGGATGATCGTTGTGGTCCTTTTCAATCCAGGGCTATTTTATGACTCTATGATTCTATAATATATATTATTCCTACATATCCAGGCAGACAAATGCACAGCAGTTATAAGCTCTGTATCTATACGCTTTCACTGTACACAGAGCATTCTTAGAACTATGGCTAAGGTGTCATTTCCACACAGCTATGTGTGACATTGGTGATTAATGCTATGCCGTGTGCCTCACCACAGGTGAACACACAATGCAGAGACTGCTCTGGAGGTGAAAACATCACGTATGTGAGAGCTGTGTTATTATATTTGTTCTTTTTCTGGGACACCATCCATTGCCACGCAGTTGGCAGGACAGGGATGTCTCTTTCCTGCCAGATACTCACCTTAACCAGGAGCACAGGATTGGGATCCACCTGTGAGCACCTGCAGGTGTGCTGCGTATTTTGATGCCGAGTGTTGGAACTTAAGCACTTGAATCACAGAACTGCAGGGGTTGGAAGGGACCTCTGGAGATCATCTGCTCCAACCCCCAGCTGCAGCAGGTTCCCTGCAGCGGGTTATACACGAAGTCAACATCTCATTGACTTCCATCTCAAATGAAGAGATGTATTTCATCCGTTCTTAGCAGCCTAAAAGAGGCGACATCCTGAGCCTGAGGAGGTAGCACCATGTCCCTGGCTAGTTAACCAGATATGGGTACAAGGGGACATCGGGAGGTCACAGAATCACAGAATGGCCAGGGTTGGAAGGGACCTCAAGGATCATGAATCTCCAACCCCCCTGCCACATGCAGGGCCACCAATCATCCCACCTAATGCTAGACCAGGCTGCCCAGCGCCCCATCACCTCCAGAGATGGGGCATCCACAACCTCTCTGGGCAGCCTGTTCCAGTACCTCACCACTCTCTCTGTAAAGAATTTCCCCCTGACGTCCCAGGTCCGGACGTGCCGCGGCAGTGCCCGCTTCATGCACAGATGTCCACAACCCAGCCGCCGCGAGCGCCGAAACAAAAACGCGGCTGAGACTTCTGAAAGCCACAGCAGACTGGAATAGCCGCCTCTTACCCGGTCCCGCCTCTAAACAGGCATTCGCACTCTTCCCATCGCTGCGGCGCGTTCTGTCTCTGGACAGCTAAAGAGCCCGCAGCACCCAGCCCGCCTCCTCAGCTCCGACCGACACTCCCCCTGTGCTGAGGAGAGAGCCGCAGCGCTCCTCCCGCCGGACGGACTTGGGGCAGCGAAGAGTGGCGAGGAGGCGGCGAAGAGGCACCCCGCGGCTCGGCACGGCCCCGAGGTCGGGGCAGCGCCTCAGGCGGGTCGGCGGGGGCAGGTGCGGCGGTTCCGCGCGGCGCCGTGAGGCGGCGGCCGTGGCCGGCGTGCCCGTGGGCGTGCTCCCGGCGGGAGGGCCGCCCCGAGCCCACACCCCCGCCGCCGAGCGTTCGCCTCCTTCCCCGAGTGCCGGCGCGGCGGCGGCCGCTCGTTCCCGGGCCGCTCCCCCCCGCCCCGCCATGAAGGGCCGTCGGCGGTGGTGCTGGCGGGGGGAGCACCGCCGCTTGGCGCTGCTGCTGGCGCTCTACACGCTGCTGCTGCTGCTGCTGGTGCCCTACGTGCTGGACTACGGAGCCCGGCGGGCGCGGGCGGACGAGGAGCCGCTGCTGCGGCGCTGCCCCAGCCTGGAGGAGGCGCTGAGCGAGTGGGGCTGGGAGCAGCGCCCGCCGCCGCCCGGCGACGACGACGACGACGACGAGGACGCGGCGGCGGCGGCGGGGAACGGCAGCGGGGCGGGCAAGCGGCACATCTACCTGCACGCCACCTGGCGCACGGGCTCGTCCTTCCTGGGGGAGCTGTTCAACCAGCACCCCGACGTCTTCTACCTCTACGAGCCCATGTGGCACCTGTGGCAGGCGCTGTACCCCGGCGACGCGCTCAGCCTGCAGGGCGCCCTGCGCGACATGCTGCGCGCCCTCTTCCGCTGCGACTTCTCCGTGCTGCGCCTCTACGCCGCCCCCGCCGCCCCCCGCGACCCGCTGGGCGCCGCGCCGCCCGCCGCCAACCTGACCACGGCCGGCATCTTCGGCTGGCGGACCAACAAGGTGATCTGCTCGGCGCCGCTCTGCCCCGCCGCGCCGCGGCCCCGCCGCGAGATCGGCCTGGTGGACGGCGCCGCCTGCGAGCAGCGCTGCCCGCCGCGGGCGCTGCGCGAGCTGGAGGCCGAGTGCCGCAAGTACCCGGTGGTGGTCATCAAGGACGTGCGGCTGCTGGAGCTGGGCGCGCTGCTGCCGCTGCTGCGGGAGCCCGGCCTCAACCTGCGCGTGGTGCAGCTCTTCCGCGACCCGCGCGCCGTCCACAACTCGCGCCTGAAGGCCAAGCAGGCGCTGCTCCGCGAGAGCATCCAGGTGCTGCGCAGCCGGCACCGCGCCGAGCCCCGCGGGCCGCCCCGCCCGCAGCAGCCTCCGCTCCCGCCCGGCCTGGGGCTGCTGGGCGCCGGGCGGGCCCCCGCGCAGCACCGCGCCGAGTTCTTCCTCGGCGGAGCGCTGGAGGTGATCTGCCAGGCGTGGCTCCGCGACCTGCTGCTGGCCCGCCGCAACCCCGCCGCGCTGCGCCGCCGCTACACGCAGCTGCGCTACGAGGACCTGGTGCGGGAACCCCGCGCGCAGCTGCGCCGCCTGCTGCGCTTCGCCGGCCTGCCCGTGCCGCCCGCCATGGAGGCCTTCGTGGTCAACATGACCCGCGGCGCCGCCTACTCCTCCGAGCGGCCCTTCCTCATCTCCGCCCGCGACGCGCGGGAGGCCGTGCACGCCTGGAGGGAGCGCCTCAGCCGCCAGCAGGTGCGGCAGGTGGAGGCGGCGTGCGGCGAGGCCATGAGCCTGCTCGCGTACCCGCTCAGCGCCGGGGAGCGGCGGTAGGGGACGGATGGGGAGCCGCCGGCAGACAGCGAAGGCGAGGCGGCGGGGCCGGCGGACGGCGAGGTCTGAGCGCCTGCTCCGAAGGGGCGTCGGGGACGGCGAGCGTCGAGGGGACGGCAGGGACGCGTCTCTAAGAGTTCCGAGGTGTTTGGTAGGGGACGTCCTCACCGGGCTCCGAGGCCTACTGGACACGAAACTGACCCACCAAGAGTTGTCAGTTCTTATAACTTGTATTAAATTGATAAAAACAAAGACTCCGAGCGAACACTCAGAAAACTCGTATGAGAGCGTCGCCCTTTCCGGAGCATAAAATTGGTTCCGTTGTATCACTGTTACGACAGGTGAAGAAAGCATCTGCGGAACTCCCTGTTCCTGGAATCTGGCTGCCCACGCCTGGCAGGAGCCGCTGTGCCCGTGGCCTGGTTGTCCTGCAGGCACTGCCCGCACCTCCCTCAGCTCCCACCTGCAGCTCTGCTCTCGGAGCACTGGGAGGATCAGCATGAGCATTTGTCTGCTTCTGTGTCTTGAGGACATTTGTTCCAGAAAGTCTGCACTTTTCTAAACTAGACTGTAATTCTTTTTTTAAAGAGAAGTGTTCTAACAGACTGATAGGTGTGATACCAGTGGCGGACGTGCTTTTTGCAGATTCCTGTAGAAGTGACATTATCTGGGAGGCGAATGCTTGACATTTCCATTTTTGTTTTCTCAATCGACTGAGAGAATGCCTTTCTTTCCCAGCTTCCTGGCTGAGACAATGAGCTGCACGGGGCTCCTGTGCTCACATCCCCTCCCAGTGATAACATCCTCTCAGCTGTAGCTCCTGCATGTGGACAGAGCAAACGCTGCCACGCAGGGCTGAGCAAATCCATCCTGGGAAAAGAAGTCCCCAACTAAAAGTCTGTATTTAAAAAAACAAAAAAACTGCAGCGCATCCTTAAGTTTCATTTTGGATTTTCAGGTGTTGTTTTCCTGTATGTGTTCTGGGGCTCGTATGAGGAGGGGTGCATGTGTGTGTATGCAGGTGTCTTTTGTCCGTTGCTTACTTGGGGACAGGAGGTTGAAGATTTGTGGGCACTCACTGTAACTTTTTAGGAACAGCTCTTGGGTCCGTTCCAATCTGACAGCAGCTAAATGGTACCATGGGAGTGCATAAGGCTGTGGAGGTGCTGACATACAATCCTCAAGCACAAAGTGAGAACATGGGCTTCAGATGGAGGATAATCCAGGCTCAGAACAAAGCTGTGTTTATATAAAGTGCTGGAAACGAAGGCAGCTCAAAGAAGTCACGTTATCTTACAAGAAACGTTTGCATTGCGTTGTAGTTTTTCATGCTCTGGGTATTGCGCTGTAAAACATGTCAGTGTGTTAGGGCCAACCATAATTTATTGTAGCTCTTTTTCTTCCTTGGCCTTCCCACCCAAGAGCAGTGCCATTAGCATTGACACAGATGCAGTCAGGAGGGTGCTTTTTGTGCTGGTCTGTGTTCAGCAGGTTGCAGTCTAGGAACTGTACGGTGCAGCTGTTAAGTACTCACTTCACCTTGGCAGAGAACGTCATCGTGCCAGCTCAGGATGCAGTGGTGTGACACAAGGAGCTGTGGGAAACACACCCTCAGGTTCGCTTTTACTGGTTTGTTGTGAGAAGTGTTGTTGCCCAACCTAAATTCATGCCTATTGCTGAAAAAATCCACTAATTGTAAACTATTCTGTTTTCTGAAACAGTTCCCACACTTGACAGATGTGTTTTCTGTATCAAGATTTATTTTTTCTCCACAGAAGTTTCCTGTTCTCTTTGTTAGTGGTTCATTCAGTCTTTTTCTCACCCCAAGCTGTTCTCCTAAGACCCGATCTAGTTCTTGTCTTTTTTGTGTGTGTGTACCATGAGAAGGGCTCTGTTCTGCAAAGTGTATAAAAATACAGCAAGTGCAATTTCTGTTTTGTGTTCAGGGCGTGAGAGTTTATTAGAAGGCCCTGTAAAAAGATCAGCGGGGAACAAACAAAACTGAAAAATGAAGAAGTAGCAGTGAGAGTGCAGGATGTGCAAGAGCACCAAGGGTTAGACAGCAATTGCTCAATGGCAGATGTTGTGACTGCAGCACTTCAGCCCAGGCAGGACCTACTGAAATGCCATCATCCCAGGAGAACAGCTGAGGCTCACCACCTACTTTGCTCCTAAAGCATTGTGGCGGATGTTTACGGTGCATCCTTGTTGGCCTGGTAACCTGCACCTTGTAGGAAAAACATTGTAATGTCAGACAACAGCATCGTGCCTGAAAGGACAGAAGAAATGTATGGGGTTGGGGGGTGGGTGCTGGAGCTTTGTGGGAAGAGCTCTCTGGAAGGGCACCCAGCCTCTGGGTGCTGGGTGCAGGACAGCCAGAGTTAAGCTGCATTTTGGCAGTGGCTGCTCTTCTGTGGCTTGGTTAATGAGCTCTGCTGCTGTGCTGGGCATCTTCTAGAACACAGGGGACCGGTAAGCACGCTGCAGCTGAGCTGAACTTGGCAGGCTGGGAATCAGTTGGTGCTGGGCTGCAGAGCTTTAGTTGTTTAGACTGAGATTTGGGAACAGTCTATGCTTGTGCCATGTTACATGTCATGAATTAACAGGTTTAATCTATTAAGTCGTAGTTGGAACTGGGAACAAAACCGACAAATGCTTACGCCATTATTTCTGTCATCTGGTTTTACTTAACTTTTGATTGTGGTGATTTTGCCTTGAGGGAGGTAGAAACTTGAGTCTTCTAATCGTATGTAAAGTGCTGTGCTCTAAGTGAGGTATTTCCGTGCTGGAATTGCTAATTGCTCTGTTCCCACCTTATATCTGTACTTAAACTGCTGGGCGACAGCTGCAGTGACACAATTGTGAGAAGCAGTGAAAGTGCAGACTGAAGAAACACGCTCAGCCCCTTGTGTTACTTACACGTGCTGACACATCACTTGCAGATCCCCATGCTGTGTACTCACATACTTTAGATACAATGGAAATGTATTTGTTGCGCTGAGGTGCTTATTTCTTTGGTTTCTGTTTGCCAGCACAAAGCTCTCCCTGATGCAGTATCCACTGAGAAATGCTGGAATGGTCGTGGAGAATGGTCGCAAAGTCACTTATGGAACAGCTGTGGTGTTGCATTGGTCTGCTCAGTGCTTTCCCCGCTCACTGAGTATGGTGAGAAGTTCTGAGTTTCTACATGAAGTTCTCTTCAAACATCACTACTGCAGCTTTCAGTAAGCCAGATTATGACAACCAGTGCAGAACTCCTGGGTTTATTACGGTCATGCAATTAAACAACATTTTGGTGAAGAACAGAGCTCTGTAGACCCAAAGGAATTGAGGTGGTGATTTTCTGCAAGCGTGGGACTTGATGTACTGCCTGCTAGTCATGCTGTCTTGGTATTTGGCACCAGACAAGTCTGGCTTCCATCACCAACCTGTTGTGCCCTGCTGATGACCTGCACACTGTTTCTTGGTGTTAATGAACAGGAATCAGGGCTTTTCCCGATGCCCCCAAGTTTTTCTCCCCGTTTCTAACTGTCTAACTTTGACAAACTTTAACTGTATTTAGGCTGAATCTTTTCTTGTTGAGCTCAAGGTTTAATTCTCTTTGGGGAACTTAATTCAGTGAAGTGCATCTTCTTTGAAACCAGGGTTGGGATGTGGATGTGTCGCACCCACATCCAGCTGCTCTCAGAGATGGATCTATGAGGTCATTTTGTCACTGTGGCACTTTGGGACAAGTTTGGGCAGGGGGAATGACTTCCACGTAAGGGATGCACGTGTTTGGTTTTTACTGTTACTACTTTCAGTTGGCCAAATGTTTGCAAAAAAACTGTTAGCATGTGCTAGTAAAAGTGGTTTTTGTATGTTTATGTGTCTTTATTTTACACCAGGAAACATCTGCATTGGTTTTGCCTTCAGTGAACGCTCTCAGACCTCTGTGTTCCCATGAAAAAGGCACATGTATGATGGCAGTACCATGCTCTGTGTCTTAATTACCCATGCTCAGGGTGAATTAACTCAGACTTTTAGTAAATACAGAGAAATATCAAGTGAGCCCTCTACCTTGGAGAAGACAGAGCTGTTCACTCCATTTAGCCTGAAAGGAAAGGTGGAAGGAGGACAGCAGCACACAGCAGAATTGATAGCAGAGAGGTGGAGAGGTAATCATGCCATGGACAACTTTGGCACAAGAACAGGAATTTGTATGTGAGTAGTGAATCACTTTAGCCTGGCAGCTAGAAGAACTGTGTGGTTGTGGAGCAGGCTTCCAAATGGAGCAGTTTGTTTCGGAATACTCTGTAACAAGTTCATATCATTTAAAAATTCTGGTCATCTTGTCTTTACCAGGATTTGAGTACAGTTTACCAGAGCTGTACCACAAGTGAAGGTCAGAGCAAAAGCCACATCATTAACTCAGTAATTTCTGCCCTGTTTTCTCAGAAGTCAGAAATGCCCCCAGCAGTCAGGATGCCTGCTGATAAAAGTGCTCTCTGCCATCAGTTAGAATCATTTCATGCTTTAAGTCTTTTTATTTCTCCCTGGGGTGCAGAAAACAGCCTGCCACCATTTTCTTCTGGAAATTTTGTCACTTTGCCTTAGCAGAAGCACATGTTATATGATTGTTTATTACACAACAGCAACAAGAAGCACAAAAAACCTCCATGTTAATCAGCTTTAAAGCTTATTAGCTTCCTATTCAGGCTTCAGTTGTACCATTCTAGTTCTGACACAGCACTCTGGGGTTCATTCATCCTTTTGCACTGAGCAACTTCCATGCTCCATGTGACTCAAGCCACAGAACTCCTCCAAGTGCTGCCTTAATGCTGCCATATCAGATAAACAGATAAATATTTGTTTGTACAACATCAAATTCATGCATGAAGAGAGGTGTTCTCTCCTACCTGTTGTGCCTTGAGTTGTGTCTTTCTGATTGAGTGACTGTAGTTATATTCCTGAGAAGTTTAGCATGAATTTCATTTTCCACCATAAATTGTAAATTGGAGCCATAGCTTGCAGTGATTCTTGGTAAATCCTTACCAGAATATTTATGTAGGTTGCTCTTCTGAGAACTTACAGTCAAAGCTGCTACAT